GTTCTAAGTAATTCAGTAGCGCCATAATTAGCATGGATTCTCAAAATACAGATGAAATACTTAATGTAGCATGCTGGCTGCAAAAGATCACTCATCATCACCTAATGCAAACTACTAACCTGAACCTTAAAAAGTGAACTAAAAAGTGAAGAAAAAATTTTGACTGGGTTTTCCTCTTTAAGTAAAATATAGCTATGTTTTGAAATCTGAACCTTAAAAAGTGAACTCAGAGGAAAGATTTGCCCTAGCATTCTCTGGTCATTAGCTTAGGTGAAAGATGAAATTATAAACATCTGTAGGGTGCATCAGTTTAAGAAATATTGCTTTTAAATACCATCTACACTAGAACTGCCATTCTTTGAAGCTGGATTGGTAACTTTTGTTATTTGTCAAATGAACTAAGTTTGTTACCAGCTAGAAGATCTTTTTGGAAGATACATCTTGGCATCTTCAAGTTACTCATTCTGTAACATCAAAATTCCAAAGTGAGATGTCCTCATGTCTTCCCCTCAACAAAAAGGCTAACACACAGGTAGCAGAATTCTCCAGGAAATAATAGAAAAGCAACAGATTAGTAATTTTGACTGGGTTTTCCTCTTTAAGTAAAATATAGCTATGTTTTGAAACCAGTACCTCTTCCAAAATATCAGTTCCAAACACTGATTTTTCTGCTCCTTTTTCCTAGTTTTTTCACTTCCCCATACCTTCATCCATGTAAAAGATTTTGAATCAGTTGAGGTCACTGCAAAACTGCTTCTCAGCAAAAGACAGCTCCCTGCAAATTTTTTGTGGTTCTTTACCAAAGCATAGATCATCTTCACAGCGTTTCTCATTATCTGTCCCAACACAACTGCTTGTGTAGGGTAGCTCAGTAGAGAGAGATCATTCTGTGTATATTTCACACCTTTGTACAGAGAATTTTATTTTATATCCAGTAAAGAAAGTGCTGGCAGATGATTTTAAATGGCAATCCAAATGAACCTCATCAGATTCTGTTTGGCTGTGTACGTGTTCTCCCACACCTCTTCTCCTTGTAAACAAAGAAGGAGCAATGCAATCTGGTTCAGGTAACTTCAGCCAGTCACCCTGAGCTAACTCCAGATGGTATTTCTTCTACTAGAAATAGACCGGTATTGGATTCAGTGCCCCACGGGATCAACAATTAATCCAAAAGAAATACTTTCTAGGGAAGGAAAGAGTAGAATACTTATTTGACAGAGGTCTGAGGCCAGGGTGGATAGCCAAGATCTCATAGTAGCCAATTCAGCTTCTTGTGCAGTCAAAACTCCTTTGTTTCAGTTTTGCAACCTCTGCAGCAGACGTGATAGTTACTCACTGCAACTATTTTACAGGTCCACTCTGAGATTAATCAGTAACTGCAAAGTCCTTTGAAGATGAAAATAACCATGAGAAAACTAGGGGCCAGGACGACAAACAGACCTTTTCAAATATAGTGTTGTAGCTGAATGTATATCTGCTGAACCTGGTGGCACTTTTATTTTCTTCCTCAAATCCATTTCAAGGAGCCCAAGCAATTATTATCATGTAACAGTGGCACTGAGATCAATAGCATTACAGAGCTGAATTTGTGAAAATTTGTTAAAGGTTGAAAAATCCTGGAGAAGTCCTTTAAAACTATGCACAAATCCTATTCTATCAATGTTGTCTTGCAGACACAACCTGAAGTCTTAAGTATTTTGAACTTGTGTTTTATGATCTCTCCCTGCCTGGACTCAAAGCAGTAATTTATGCAGCCTTCTTTGTCTGGGGCTTGCAGAATGCCTCATTGTATGTTGCCCCATCATCTAACAAGAGCCCACATGTGAGAATGTTGCACAATGCTACACAAGAGGTGGCAAGTTCACTAGCAAGTCATCACCCAAAATGCATGGAGTGTTATGCCACCAAACAGACACTGAGGAGCTCAGCCTGCCTATTCTGCATTGTGAATGCAATTTTCAATACCAGTAAAGGCACAGCAGCAGGTGAGAACTGTTTGCCGCTTGGACTGATTCACAGCTGCAGCATTGGATACCACATTTGAAAGCCAAATGAGGAAAGCCTGGACATGAAGATAGCACCCAAAAAGCATTTCTGGATGGATCCTTGAAGCAAGGTAGAACCCTCTCTTTGCTCCTTGCTCCTGTGACTCAGTGCTGCTCAGCATCCTTCCAGGAGTATTCCTCATTACTCCCTCAGCCCCAGTCACATTCATTAAATGACCAAGACTCGTGCTCTAAGTAACAAATTTCCTCTTTTCCACAGCAATACCTTTCAAACTTAATAGTACAATACACATAACACAGGCAACTATGCCTCCCATCCACATTTCCCTTTCCCTCCCTTTTGATTTAAGGAGGCTGAGCCCAGCACCTTTTGTTATATGGGATCTGATCCCTGTGGATTGAAGGTCTCAGAGGAAAGAGAAAGAAAGGGATATTTTTAACTTTAGTCCTCCGGCATCACACTTATAACTGTAATGAAATTTTTGGCTGTAGAATAACAGGGCAGTGTTTTAATTTAGAACATTAGTCACACAGTTTAGGTGACAAAACAGTGAGCAAATTGTATTTTGCAGAAGAAACGAGGGGATTAGACAATTGCCACCAGTGAAATAAATTCTAGCTATTATTTCCAGATATCAGATTTAACACAGGTAAGGGAGTCCTTGACAAATCATAGGTAAACTATTTTATCACTGTATCCCTGTAAAATGAAAAAGGTTTCTTGCTGCAATTAAATTCCCCATCTCAAAGCCTAACCAAACTGCATTACATTGGCAACGTAAGGAAACTGATCTCTGATTATCCATGACAATAATTTGGCTAATGGTAGCACTTTTAAGAGCCCTCCTGCAAACAGTTTGCCAGCTGCTGACATGCCATATGCACTGAGAAAATTAGCCTAATTGCTTTGTCTGCAGCTGACATAATTCCCAGTTAGTATATGTGGGTTTGTGGAATGTGTGTGTAATTTAGACTATGAGGATAGCTGTGAGCACAAGATATCTATTTGGCCAGTCTGACACCTGAGGCTCTTGCCCCTTCTGCAAACCAAGTCTGTTAACCTTGAGCCTGCTCTACTGCCCCAGCAACACTCAGGCTGCATGTGATCTAAAGAGCCTGGGCCTTTGTCACACTATGACCCTTTTGGCAAAAGATCACATCACCTCAGCAAAGGCCCTGCAACACAAATTCTGCACAGTGTTCACTCCTGATACCACAGCAAGCCTGAAGGTGACCTTGCTTCCTTTTTCATTTACTCTCTACAAATTTATTATACAAGGTATTGGTATGCAGGAAACTGTTCCTATGCACTAAGGAACACAAGAGCTTTATTAGCATTTTTCAAATAACAATCTGTGTTGTAACACAGGACATAGCAAAGAAATATAGAGAACAACATATACAGTGTCCAGTATGTATTTGCTTGGTGAACAAATAAGCAATTATTGAATATTTTGAAAGCATTACAAATGTTACAAGAGACCCTACAGGACCAGTGAATTTTCATTCAAGAGATGCAGACTACTAATTGTGAATGGTCCCAATCTCCCTTCAGACAGAGGATCTCTGTAAGAAGAGGTTCTGTCTTTTGACATTGTGCAAACCTTCTCCTTCTTCTGACCTCTTCATTCAGCCAGTGACTCAGCCTGATATCAGAGGGCAAACACTTACCTGATGAGATTGAAAGATGAAGTCCAGACCTGCTGTGATAATTAAAGATCATCAAGTGCTTTTTCTAAGTGGAGGTTTGTTTCCTGGCTAAATTGCACTTCAGGTAATGGCACTCTTAAATCACCTTAAATCACCTCCTTGGCTCAAACCGAAGAGTTTCATCCCAGGCATAGTTTCAACTGGAGACAGATACCTTCACTTTCTCTTCTGCTGGGATCATCAGCATATTCAGCCTTACACAATGCAGAATTTTGCCTCAAAAGCTGCAGAATTTCAAGCCACCTGGCTCCAGTCCCGTTTCACAGCTTGTCTATTAATTAATAAGACACTGTTACTCAGGCCAGACACTGAAGGGTTGGGGCTGGCACTGTGGTGATCCAAAGCTGCATGATCTGCAGGAAAGTTGAGTCAGCCTCTGAATTTCAGGCAACCAGGGAGATAATTTTTTTCTCCTTAAACAGACAGGAAATGGTTCTGTAATGACTTCTTTAAACTAACTTAGAAGGCTTCAGAGACAAAGTACATGCCAGAATAAGGTCAGATGATTAGCCATAACTTGCTGCTGCTATCTGCAAAGTATTCTGGTAAGAAGGAAGGGTGTGATTTAATCTCACAGTCATTCACTGGGTTGCTACAGAGGCCCCCAGCAGCAGGGTTACAAGCAGTGTGAAGGTCTGGAGAGTTATTGCCCACACTCACTTTGATAAAACACAAGATGGTGTCTGTAGCAGGCTCTGCAGTCAACATCAGCGGGCTGTTATAAGACACCAGGGTGTTTAACTCCCTGTTGCTTGACACAACAGGGATGCTGGGACTCTAAGGTTTTTTATGGTCTCCAGCAATAAGCACATTGCAATTGCTCAAAGTCATCCCTACTCCTCTGCCACCAGACTGCCCCTGTTCATCTTGATTTCTGACCTTTTTTATCTGATATCTTTTTTTGTCTTTCTTGCCAGTCTTCTGCTATGACATACTTTTTCCTCAACAGCCCTAGGATTTTGTGCTTCTGGTCCTCCTTTGCTATGTCCCACATCTACTTCATTTAATCTCTGAACATTAAGACTTTGTCATGGATTGACTCTGGCACAATGTCAGTGCCTCCATGAAAGGTATATTTTCAAAATGGTCACTGTGAGATGGGACCCAGAAACAGAACAAAGCAGGCTCCAACTTGGGAATGGAGGGAAAAACACAACACTTTATTAATTTATAACACAAAGACAAGAGGGGGAAAAAAACCCACACACAATAATCTACAATGGAAAACCTCCAAAACACTCCTCCTCCCCCCACCCCTCTAACACTCAATTCTCAGTCCAATACCCTCCTCCACACGACGTCCCCCCAGTTCATCAGGAGAGAGGAGTCTCCCTCTTGTACCATGGGCCTCCCCAGGAAACACAATTGGAACCTCCTGTGCTTCCATGTCACACGTGGCAGTCGCCCGGAGAGAATCTGCCGTGGTGACCATCTTCCTTCCACGTCCAGTGCTCTCACCACTGTCCATGGATCCAAACTGCTCTTTAGGTCCTTCTAAGAATGCCTTGCCCAGTTCCAAGAAGTGGCTGCCTCTCACCATTGGGGATACCTGTCCCTCCCATATTTCACCCCCTGGGGCCGAGGGGCCTCATGAACAGAGATCCTTCTCTGCTGAAGGCAGAGGGCTTAAGTCTTCTTCTCATTTGCCCATTCTCCTTTACCCATCCTCCATCTCCTCTGAATTCTCAGCTGGGGAGGAGCAGTGTTTTTACAGCGACTTCCACCAACCACACTAAATTTATCCTAGATATTAGCATAGGAAGAACTTCAAAACACAAGGCAATGCATCCACTTCTACAAAGACAGGTCCAGAGAATGCCCACAGCAACAAGTGTGGTGTTCCAGCATGAATAGCAGAGAACAATTGCATTGACATCCATAAAGACAATGGGTCCTGGTCATCCTCTAGTGGCAGAAAGCAAGCTGACCTACTCCTGGAGATGGTGTCCAGGACCTCTTCAGGCAGACCTTACAGTAGCTTGTCTGGAACTGCAGATGTGGAAATAAGAGCCCTTTGTGCTGAACTTCATGATCAGCACTAGATACATGGGACACGTACAGGACCTCCCAGTTGCCCCGCTGATACATAAAAACTACAACCAATCATCATTCTATGCCTGCTCTTAAGATCTAATGATGAGTCATTCTAGGAGGAGTTTGTCAGCAAAATGCTGAAAAGTGTAGTCTCACCACTGACTTTTAGCAGCCAAAGTGAATGGCACTTTCTAAACAATTTTGTTCCAGATTAAATAAATCTAAGCAATCAAAGCAAACTTTTCCACGTCACCTTCTTTCTTTTTGTTTGACTACTCTTACTATCCTGCCTCATGAATCCCAGACAAAAGGATTACAGAATCACCGAATACACTGAGTTGAAAGGGACCCACATGGATCAAGTCCTCAGCAGGATCATCCTCAAGAGTCACACCTGGTGCTGAGGAGTATTTTCCAAGAAAATGCAGAATTACTCCATTTGATCCTGCTCTCCCCATGCCACAGAATTACTTCATTTGCCAGTAGTCTGGAGTGCTTTGGGAGCAAAATATCTGAAGGAAAGTCTGAACAGTCTGCCATGGGAAACACACAGGTCATACGTCAAAATATCATGGGGGAATGTGAGACCTCAGCAGGAGAGAGCAGTGCTACTCGTTTTATAAAAGCCACATCAGATCACCTCATGTAAACAAAGCCAGCAAGGGTTTTCAGAAGGCAAAAATACCTGTATTCACTTCATGTGGGATGCAGGTGTTTTCCACCAAAGCTATATATGCAGAATCTTCTCTTATTTGGTGGAAGGAAACTAAATCCAAATGGTGTTCTAACTTTGAGATGCAGCATTTCTTTCATCTTGTCCCAAGTAACATTGCTTTCTGATTTATGTCCCATATATTAAATAATTTACAACCAAGGGACTTGCTGGGCTGGCTGACACGCATCTTTTTTGCCAGGCTCATAGCACAGAATATGTGAGTTTCTTTTTTCCTTTGTATTAGTCTGAAGAGAAAAGCATTTGATCCAGTTAAAGAAGTGGTGTGGTTTCCTGCCTGAGCTTTCATTTGTTTGGGTATTTTTTGTTGGTGTTTTTTTCTTGTAATTAGGGATACACAGTTTATATGCCTTTAATCACAGCATATGCACTCTGTAATTACTCTGTAAATACATGCATATGAATTGTTTATATGTGTGGAGGTGGGAGAGCAAGAAACTAGAGGTAATTATGTGTATAGGGAAATGTAATGATTAATTATCTGGAGTACATAATCTTACCAAGAGGCTTGATAAAGTGCAAGCGCAACTGTCTCTCCTGTGTGTTAATTACTTACAGAGAGTTTGATCCAGCTGTTTCTACTCATGGAAATTCCCATTCCAGTCTATCTGAAGGAGAGTCCATAGGCTGAAACCTGTGAGTGCTTTCCCTGAGCAAACAACCATGTCCCTATACATTCACCCTAAAGTGTGTGAAGCTGCCATTAGGTCATGGGGCTGGTTATGCATTTAGCCCAGTTTAACCTTTCAGCCTTGCACCAACAAGGAACAAATGAGATGGGTTATCATTGCAGTCCATCAGATCCAGGGGAGACAGAAGAGAACTGTGCACAGTTGGAAAGATCTAACCCAGGATGTCTGAGTAAGCACAGCATTGGTCTCAGTAACAACCAGGTACATGAAAGAAATTTGCTTTTTGCATCAATGACAGAGGGGACTGAGCCAGATTTTCACACCCTTCATCAAGGCAGTTTTCCAAAAAGAACTCCACAGACAGAGAGCTGCTTGTAGGAAAAGCCTGCTTTTTTCTTCCAGAGTTCAATGTATTAGCAAATAGTACTTTGCCAAAAAATTGCAGCATGACTTAAGTTTGGAGATTTTCAAGGGAAATGCCACTGTGTTGATAAACCAGGCACCACTTCCCTCAGGACCTGTTGGCTAGTCAAGCAGTATGACTTGTGGTGTGGCGGTGCTTCTTTGCATCAGTGAGCAGAGAAGAAACAAAGAACCCCTAAACCCCTTGATTCTAATAAGTTTATGCCAGCCAGGCGTGGCATGGTGATACCAAACTGTCATATATGATTTCTTACTACACATACAAACTACTACAGATCTTTCATTTTGGCTTAGCTAATTTTAGCACAAGTTTTTCTTCTCTAGTGTTGTGAAAACAACATTTAATGAGTCCTCAAGTTAGGCTCTCAAGCAGCAGTACCTTTCTCTTTCTCATCCTTGCTGTCTCCAGAGACCTTGCTTTGCCACCAGCTGTGATGGCAAGCAGAGTTGATACAAGCATGCTCTGTTGTGAGCAGGGGAAGTCCCAGCTTAGATCATCACCTTCATAACTCCTGCTTCTGACTTTGGGGTCAATAAATGCCCATTCATGATGGCTTCTTTCTCCTTTCACTACAGGCCTCCTCTCCAGGTTTCCTCTCCAGAGGTACTGGTCCCAATACAACTGCAATACATCATAGTAAGCCTGACCTGTCTGCATGCACATTTCCTCACAATTCTCTGTTTTCCCTCTTAGCGACCAAGCCCATCTGTCATTTCTTGCATGAACAGACTACATGAGAAAGTACATTTTAAAAGTTCCCTTTGGTCATTGCAAACCTGGATCTGTGGAGATGCAAGTATGAACAGCAAATCTCTTCCTAATGCTCTGTTCCTAGATAGTCATCCAACATTTCAAGGAAGTTAAATGTCCTAGCAGGAAAAAAATTGTCATGGGGCTCGTCTTGCTCAAGAACAGATTTAAGAACTTAAATGCTGTACCAGGGACATGCTTCTGCATTGCTGCTTCTCTGCAACAGGCTGGTTCAGGAAATGGGATATAGATACTCAGCTTTCTAATATCAGTTTGGATATGAGTGTTTTTTGGAGATGTTATTGCTTACTTTGCCTGACTGAATGTAGTTCTGATTTTACAGGGAGCTTATTTCACTGGATTGCAATTATCCCATTTTGTTGAATATACCACTCCATTTCTTTCTTAGAACATTCCAACCTGTGCTCTTACAGCTCATGTACCAGGACACAGTGTAATAATTGTCTGCTTAAAATCATCTTGACATAAAACTGAGAAAAAAAATATTTGTTTTTATTACAAGCCCAAACATTAGTTAATTCCAGTCCAGAGATTAATGGAGTTAATGTTTATAAAACAGCATCAGGTTAATTACATCTGAAGCTACATTAATCCTTATAATTTCATTCAACTTCTAAATGAAAAGGAACACTTCAATGTCTCAGTCAAGCTGTACTGCAATATTGCCCTATCTTTGAATAATTTCAGATCTTCCTTGTAGCAGAGAATAGGTAGGAAGTTATACTCTAAGGTTTCTGCAGTTCTTAGTTGCTTTTCATTGCATTGACGGTAGTCTCTTTTTAAATGTTTCTTCCTTTTTTACAATCCATCCTGTAAGTCAATGATATGAATATTGGAAACATCAATAATTATTAAAAATTTGTGAGCAATGCTAGTTCCCTTTTTCACAGTGTTAGAGAATTCATTTATCTTAATGGTGTTGGTAGCATTCAGAACAATCTCAATCAATAGGCAGAAACTAATTTCACAGCTCTGATCCCTGCACAGCCAGATTGTCTCAGCTGCAGTGACACCTATCAAAACAGTGTGAGGTCCAATCCTCAATCAAATGCTGTTTCGATGAAATCAAGCAGAGCACAACTTCTTCATGCTGCCACTTCCAAAAAGAGCTACAGGAACAAGGACATCTCTGAAAAAAACCAGCTCTGTTGATACCAGACTCGATGTAAATCACTGAACTTTATCTCAGCCTTGGCAGTATTGAAAAAAAACTGCTGTAATTTCATGGTTTGATGTGAAAGTTGATGACTCCATTACCTCACTCATGCTAAGTACGCATGCATCTTGATCCTGCAAGGAACTGGACCATAGTAACTACCACATGCAAAATGCCCAAATGCCTATGAAACAGACTATCTAAAAGACAGTGTTACAGACAAATATAGACTAAAGTTTGCTTTATTTTTCTATAAAAAATAGCTAAGTGCAATCCTTGCAAAATAGGTGATAATTCACAGTATCTCTGCCATTATTTCAGCTACAGGACTCAAACACAGTTCAATTGCTAAGGCTTTAGGTATGCAAGAGAGCAGAAGTATTTCCAGAACATGGAAAATGCAAATAACTTCTACAAACATAAGATGTTTCAAATTAAATTTAACAAATGTAGCTTCATCAAGCACTTCCTTCCACTCCCAGAAGAGGACACTAGCTAAATATGTGGTGATGGTCTACAGACTTGTCTCCTGATTTTCCAAGTTCCCCTTCCCCATCCAGAGAGCACAGACAGATCAGCTCAAAAAGTAAAGAGGTACTAGATAACAAAAGTCTTTCCAGCATTTTTGGGACTATGCAGAATTGCATTGCACAAATCAAAGTATAAGCTTTAATTGTGTAAGCCCAAGTGAAATCTTGTTTAAAGAGACATCATAAGAGTTTCAACTTCTGCAATAATCAGCAGAAACTTACTTGGTATTAATCATCCATAGGTAAAAATCGACGAAATT